CGGAAAGATTCAATTAAGGGAGATAACCTGTGTGATGAAGCACTCTGAGGCCAAAACCTAGCTGTGGTTGTGCAAGATCATTTAGCTGCAGGTTGCAGTAGCAGCAGTATATGGATGCAGTGACCTGACAGCAGTGACCCATGGCCAGGGATTATTTTGACGAGTTGCATCCTGTGCTTACCCAGCTATGGCCATTTGTGGCAACAGGTTGTACCGCACTTCTTTCTTACAAAATAATGTTTGCACAGCTGGGTCTTCACCAACCGGTACACTTGAACTTGACAGACAAAATGAGAAAAAAAAATCCAGAAAATCACATTGTAGGATTTTTAATGAATTTATTTGCAAATTATGGTGGAAAATAAGTATTTGGTCAATAACTAAAGTTTCTCAATACTTTGTTATATACCCTTTGTTGGCAATGACACAGGTCAAACGTTTTCTGTAACTCTTCACAAGGTTTTCACACACTGTTGCTGGTATTTTGGCCCATTCTTTCATGCAGATCTCCTCTAGAGCAGTGATGTTTTGGGGCTGTCGCTGGGCAACACGGACTTTCAACTCCCTCCAAAGATTTTCTATGGGGTTGAGATCTGGAGACTGGCTAGGCCACTCCAGGACCTTGAAATGCTTCTTACGAAGCCACTCCTTCGTTGCCCAGGCGGTGTATTTGGGATCATTGTCATGCTGAAAGACCCAGCCACGTTTCATCTTCAATGCCCTTGCTGATGGAAGGAGGTTTTCACTCAAAATCTCACAAAACATGGCCCCATTCATTCTTTCCTTTACACGGATCAGTCGTCCTGGTCCCTTTGCAGAAAAACAGCCCCAAAGCATGATGTTTCCACCCCCATGCTTCACAGTAGGTATGGTGTTCTTTGGATGGTACTCAGCATTCTTTGTCCTCCAAACACGACGAGTTGAGTTTTTACCAAAAAGTTATATTTTGGTTTCATCTGACCATATGACATTCTCCCAATCCTCTTCTGGATCATCCAAATGCACTCTAGCAAACTTCAGACGGGCCTGGACATGTACTGGCTTAAGCAGGGGGACACGTCTGCCACTGCAGTCCCTGGCGGCGTAGTGTGTTACTGATGGTAGGCTTTGTTACTTTGGTCCCAGCTCTCTGCCGGTCATTCACTAGGTCCCCCCGTGTGGTTCTGGGATTTTTGCTCACCGTTCTTGTGATCATTTTGACCCCACGGGGTGAGATCTTGCGTGGAGCCCCAGATCGAGGGAGATTATCAGTGGTCTTGTATGTCTTCCATTTCCTAATAATTGCTCCCACAGTTGATTTCTTCAAACCAAGCTGCTTACCTATTGCAGATTCAGTCTTCCCAGCCTGGTGCAGGTCTACAATTCTGTTTCTGGTGTCCTTTGACAGCTCTTTGGTCTTGGCCATAGTGGAGTTTGGAGTGTGACTGTTTGAGGTTGTGGACAGGTGTCTTTTATACTGATAACAAGTTCAAACAGGTGCCATTAATACAGGTAACGAGTGGAGGACAGAGGAGCCTCTTAAATAAGAAGTTACAGGTCTGTGAGAGCCAGAAATCTTGCTTGTTTGTAGGTGACCAAATACTTATTTTCCACCATAATTTGCAAATAAATTCATTAAAAATCATACAATGTGATTTTCTGGAAAAAAAATTCTCAATTTGTCTGTCATAGTTGACGTGTACCTATGATGAAAATTACATGCCTCTCTCATCTTTTTAAGTGGGAGAACTTGCACAATTGGTGGCTGACTAAATACTTTTTTTCCCCACTGTATATTATTGACAGCCGACCAGTAATTTAATAATATCCAAGAAGCTACGCTTAATCCTCGCCCTCCTCAGCTTCGGCTAATGAACCAAAGTACGAGAAGCACTGGCTGGACGCAGTGTCCCTACCCTTGTTGATGGCCCGAGTCTCCAGATTCAAAGCCGGAACAGATCAATTAAGGTGAGATAATCCTGTGTGATGTAAGCACCTCTGAGGCCAAACACCTCAGCTGTTGGTTGTGCAAGCATCATTTAGGCTGCAGGTTGCATAGCAGCAGTATATGGATGCAGTGACCTTTGACAGCAGTGACCCATTGCCAGGGATTTATTTTGACGATGTTGCCATCCTGTGCATTACCCAGCTGATGGCCGTTGTTGTGGTCAACAGGTTGATGAGCCTGCACTTTTCTTTTCTGTTACAACAACTAATGTTTCTGCACAGCTGGGTCATTACACCAAACCGGTACGATTTGAACTTTTACATTTTTAGATTTTTTACCAAAATGAATCATTTTTCTGAATCACATGAAGGATATATTTAACCTCCAATAAAACATATTTTCTATTATTATCGGCCATTTTGTTCTGATATGGACACCATTAGACTTCAACCCCGTTATGGACACTATGGAAGTTGTCTGAATATGATTATAAAAAATACTTGTAATAAAATCAATATTTCCCTATTAATCATATGTCCCTCAAACTAATTCAGTAATTGCAAATATAACATTTATATAAAATCTCACACTTTGTGTGGCAGCGGCCTCATCATTTTTTATAAAAAAGTATGGTATCACTTCAGAATTTTAACTAAAATCTATATACTCATGATTGCTCTAAATATTTCAGACTAAGCTCAACAAACATTAAATTCATATTTCACAAACTTTCCAAAATTGTATCACAGAAATTGTCATGAAACAGGGTCGAAAATGGTAACGGGGTTTGAAGATGGTAACAGGGTTGAAAATGATAACGGGGTTGAAAATGGTAACATGGTTGAAGATGGCAACGAGGTTGAAGATGGTAAACAGGGTTGAAAATGATAACGGGGTTGAAGATGGCAACGGGGTTGAAGATGGTAACAGGGTTGAAGATGGTAACGGGGTTGAAAATGGTAAACAGGGTTGAAGATGATAACGGGGTTGAAAATGTTAACATGGTTGAAAATGGTAACGGGGTTAAAGATGGTAAACAGGGTTGAAGATGGTAACGGGGTTGAAGATGGCAACGGGGTTGAAAATGGTAACATGGTTGAAGATGTTAACGGGGTTGAAAATGGAAACATGGTTGAAGATGACAATGGGGTTGAAAATGGTAACAGGGTTTAAGATGATAGCAGGGTTGAAGATGTAACGGGTTTGAAGTTGTAACGGGGTTGAAAATGGTAACATGGTTGAAGATGGTAACGAGGTTGAAAATAGCAACGGGGTTGAAGATGATAACGGGGTTGAAAATGGTAACGGGGTTGAAGATGGTAACGGGGTTGAAGATGATAACAGGTTTGAAAATGATAACAGGGTTGAAAATGGTAACATGGTTGAAGATGGTAACGGGGTTGAAAATGGAAACATGGTTGAAGATGGCAATGGGGTTGAAAATGGTAACAGGGTTTAAGATGATAGCAGGGTTGAAGACGTAACGGGTTTGAAGTTGTAACAGGGTTGAAAATGGTAACAGGGTTGAAAATGGTAACGGGGTTGAAGATGGCAACGGGGTTGAAGATGGTAACAGGGTTGAAAATGGTAACAGGGTTGAAGATGGTAACAGGGTTGAAAATGGTAACAGGGTTAAAGATGGTAACGGGGTTGAAGAGGCAAATTCGGCTTGGTTTATTCAAATTGGTTTAGTTTATTCTCAAATTCACTCCAAGATTTTCTTTAAACATAGATTTTATTTCATAGATATAACCATGTAATGAGGACAATTTATATCAATTTGAATTAAACTGTATTAACCCAACTGCAGTAAGACACTAAACAAAGAAAAACATAGCAGACATTAGCAACATTGAACAGGTCATCAGAACAGGTCAACAGGTCAACAGGTCATCTTACTGAACAGGTCATCAGAACAGGTCAACAGGTCAACAGGTCATCTTACTGAACAGGTCATCAGAACAGGTCAACAGGTCAACAGGTCATCTTACTGAACAGGTCATCAGAACAGGTCAACAGGTCAGAACAGGTCATCTTACGGAACAGGTCATCAGAACAGGTCAACAGGTCAGAACAGATCATCTTACGGAACAGGTCATCAGAATCATGTAGGCTGAGAGCATGTAGGCTCTCAGTTACTACAGAACTGTCATCGCGACCATCCTCTCGACTCCTCAACAGCTACTGGACATATGGAAAGACTTGAAGAGACCTGAGCCTGCCTTTTGAAATATCGCAGGCTGGGTTCCCACTGGATGCACTTCATATTGGCAGGCTGAGGCTTTGGGGTATGTTACAGTCTCAAAATCATGACCACAGAACACAATTAATTAATTGATTATTATTATTATTATTATTACTTGCTTGTCTTTGCACCATATTGTTCAGAAGACTTGTATGATGTCACTTCCAGTTGATGATGTCATGTTACAACCTGGTCTCAGAGACACTCCATTTAGTATGATGTTATATTTGGTATGGAGACCAGGTTGCATATAAGGATAAATTCTCTATTATTATGGGGGAGATTGGTTGGCTTAACAGGGTTGAGGGTAGACTGAGGTACGCAACTAAATATTGCCATTTTAATCAATAATCATGCATTTATTTGGAAAAAAAAGACATCCTCAACAAAACAGCACAAATAGATGTTTACATCAATAGCTAAATCTATGGATTATCTGCAAATTGTATTAGTCATATCCTAAGTACAAATTCAGTGAAGGCCACAGAGGACATTACAAAATGATTTGTGTCAGTTAAAAACAAGATATTACATTAATTTCATATTTAATATAAGAAAATGTTTCTTACACTTCATTACAGGGGACATTTCAGTTTATATAAAAAAGCTTTTTAAATTAGATTTTGGTGACCCAATACTTAAAATAGAATTAAAAAGGTCAGAGGGAATCAAATTATACCGGTTTAATGGAAATACCCAGCTACCTTTTGAACTAGTTTGAGTCTGGGTTTTGTGAAACGAGGCCAATTTGTATTTACTGCAGCCTTAATCTCGTCCCCAGACATTTCCGCCCACTTCCAATGTGCGCCATAGCCTTGGGGCGAGGTTCCTGTAGCCAAGACTAGCCTATTTGGCTCTGCAGCGAAAAGTGGTGCGTTTGAAAACTTTTTATTTTCAATGTTACTTTACCTTGAACTTTTTTGAAACCGACAAGATAAAGTGGTATGAAAAGTAATCAGGGGTAAAGGTGGAAGGTGGAAGAATTCGTGTGCAGTACGTTTTAAAACGGTGTGCCATACTGAACGCGACCCAGGTCATTCTGAATAGGCTGCTGCTGTATTACGCAATCGTTGACACTCTCGAGATCCGTTTTTAATAGAAGTCTGTGGGTAGATCGCCAGCCTGCAAGGATCATATCCCGTTTTCGCAACTTTCTTCTTTAAATGAGGTAGGTTTCTATCTTCACAGAATTGTTGGTGTTTTCAAGACAACTCGGAACATTTTACTACGTTTTTTTGCGGTGAGCTTTCTTTTAGTTGAGTTTATCTTTCTACAACAAGTTTCCAAGTCCAAGTCGGAAATGTCCTTGAAAGCGGCAATATGAATAGGGCTTCTCTGCATAAATTATAACTTCTGAAAATAGGCTATTGTTGACTTCAAATCACTTTTCTCTACACTATTATTTTTCAACAAAACACATAGATGTAGCCTACTATGACGATCGGCAATGAACTAGGTTGAATAAGTCAAATTGGTCGTGAGACAGCTACGCAGTATGCGACAAGACAAATTCACCAGCCTTGATTTCAACGTCCACGGACATAGATTTTCAGTCCGGTTTTGGCCGAAATGTATAAATCTATGTTTGGTTCAGATTTGGTCCGGACCGGACCAAATCTGATTGGGGACCGGACCAAATCTGAACCAACCATAGAGTACGTTTACATGTACGCTAATAATTCGATATTAAACTGATTATGGCATTAGTCATGTAAACATGCACCTTACTCTGCTTATCTTGATTTCAGATGTGTCCATGTAAACATCATTATTAGGGAAATAGTTATTCTTGCAAAGCATGTAAACGTTTTTAACCTGACTAAATGTAAATGTATCCACAATAATTGCATTATTGTATGCATGTAACCGTGCTCAAAGACATGTATGTTTCACAAGTTTGGACAGCACAGTACAGGACAGTACAGGACAGGACAGGACAGGACAGGGGCCAGTTGCACTAGTTGGGCATAAAAAAAAGTTGGTTTTAAATGTTAGGTCGGCGTAGATACGTCCGACTTTGGGATCAGAGTTTACACCTGTTGCGCCAAACAAAAATAAGACTAGTCGTAGCTAAATCCGGCATAAGCAATGGGCTTTCATGAGATTTGATGCTTCATAAGGATGGTTGCTAGGCATCGCAGCCTCCGTTACTAGGCTGTTACCATCCTCATGGCAGTTCTAAACTTTGCGAGGCATGTCCCATCACTTCGCAAAGCCCACCACTATGCATGCACGTTTCCTTAACCACAACTGGATGGATCAATCAATAATTACTGTGGGAATAAATATCACCTGAATGATGAATATATTGGAATAAAGAAGTCTAACGCCATTGACACACCCGTCGCTATGGGCGGGCCATAGGGGGCCGGGCCCGCCCCCAAAAATGCTTGTGCCCCCCCTCCCCCACTTGAGGGAATGTATTATTAAATATACGTACTGTAGGCTAATAATAATTGTGCCCTGCCCTCCCATGCATTTCATATGCCCCCCTTAAGACTGAGGTCTGGCGACGGGTCTGGCCATTGAAGGCATTTATCAGCGTTATCGCGCTCCTTTGAGACAAGCATGGGGACTTGTCTTGATTATCAATCACTGTCCGATTTCCGTTTGGATATTTGGTTACAATTAGACTGGGAAAATGTTAGCCATTTATTAGTTTTCTAATATCTGATCAGATACATTTATAACGCTTTAATGTAGCACAAATCAAGTGTATTCTTTTGCTATTGACTCGCGCATAGGCACCTAGAAAAGCCAGCGGAGGTTGTGAAATATGAACAGGAGACTCACATCCTTTTGAAAATATAGATTGCTATTATTTTCTGCTGTGCATATCATGAAACAAGATAGTCCTAACTTACCATAGGCCTGCTCCCTACTAGGTGTAGACTCCATGCCCAGACGTAGCTCATAGAGGAAAGAGTACATTACATTACAATACAATAGGGATGTGGCTCAGTTGGTAGAGCATGGCGTTTGCAACGCCAGGGTTGTGGGTTCGATTCCCACGGGGGGCCAGTATGGGAGGAAAAAAAAAAATATGCACTCACTAACTGTAAGTAGCTCTGGATAAGAGCGTCTGCTAAATGACTAAAATCTAAAATCTAGTAGAGTACAGTACAATGCAGTAGAGCATAGTAGAGTAAAGTATAGTTCAGTACAGAAGAGTACAGCACAGTAGAGTATAATGGACTCTACTTTACTCTAATGTACTGTGCTCTACTGAACTAAATTGCACTATACTCTACTGAATTAATCTCTACTGTACTATACTCTACTGAATTAATCTCTACTGTACTGTACTCTACTGAATTAATCTCTACTGTACTCTACTGAATTAATCTCTACTGTACTCTACTTAATTAATCTCTACTGTACTCTACTGAATTAATCTCTACTGTACTATACTCTACTGAATTAATCTCTACTGTACTATACTCTACTGAATTAAACACGACTCTACTGTACTCTACTGTACTGTGCTGTTCAAACTTATGATACATACCCTAGACGTCTATGATTCTGGTTCGGACCGACCAAATGTATACTTGTTTGGGGCCGGAGCTCATTTGAATAATACCCATGCTTTGCAAGTGTTTGTTTTTATACTGAACAAAAATATAAACGCAACATGCCACAATTTCAACGATTTTACTGCGTTACAGTTCATATAAGGAAATCAGTCAATTGAAATAAATTCATTAGGCCATAATCTATGGATGTCACATGACTGGGCAGTGGCACAGCCATGGGTGGGCCTGGGAGGGCATAGGCCCACCCACTGGGGAGCCAATCAGAATGAGTTTTTCCCCACAAAAGGGCTTTATTACAGACTAAATACTCCTTAGTTTCATTAGCTGTCCTGGTGGCTGGCCTCAGACGATCCCGCAGGTGAAGAAGCCAGATATGGAGGTCCTGGGCTGGCGTGGTTACACGTGGTCTGTGGTTGTGAGGCCGGTTGGACGTACTGCCAAATTCTCTAAAACGACTTTGGAGTCAGCTAATGGTAGAGAAATTAACATTCAATTCTCTGGCAACAGCTCTGGTGGACATTCCTGCAGTCAGCATGCCAATTGCACGCTCCCTCAAAACTTGAGACATCTGTGGCATTGTGTTGTGTGACAGAACTCCCCTTTTTAGAGTGGACTTTTATTGTCCCCAGCACAAGGTGCACCTGTGTAATGATCATGCCATTTAATCAGGCTTCTTGATATGCCACACCTGTCAGGTGGATGGATTATCTTGGCAAAAATGAAATGCTCACTAACAGGGATGTAAACAAATTTGTGCACAACATTTGAGAGAAATAAGCTTTTTGTGTGTATGGAATATTTCGGGGATCTTTTATTTCAGCTCATGAAACATGGGACCAACACTTTACATGTTGCGTTTATATTTTTGTTCAGTGTACATTTACATTTTGGTCATTCAGCAGACATTCTTATACAGAGCGACTTCCAGTCAATGTTATTGTAGTTGAACTGGTCTGTTGGTTTGTGCTGAACATCATCGTTGCCAGTTTTAAAGCTTTTGAAGAAGCATAAGATGTGACAGATGGAATAATAATAAATATTCTATGTTGCAATCTTCATTTGGCTCGTCTTTCCTATATTAAATGTACAGTATGTGCAGTTGGGATTTGGCCAATGTCTCTAATGAGCTCTTTTTAACTTTTATTCAGAACCGAAAATTAACCTGTTTTTTTAACGTCCGGAAAAATACGCATTTTCAACATCCAGAAAATGTAACTGATTTCAACGTCCAGAAAAGTATTTTCAACGTAATTTTGCTTACTAGGAATAGCCTACTATCAAATCAAATCAAATCAAATTTTATTTGTCACATGCGCCAAATACAACATGTGTAGACCTTACTGTGAAATGCTTACTTACAAGCCCTTAACCAACAATGTAGTTTTAAGAAAATAGAGTTAAGAAAATATTTACTAAATAAACTCAAGTAAAAAAAAATATATATATAGATATAAAGGTGCTTGTTGTTACGTTTGCACACATGCGCCTTCTGCTGTACTGTCCTTTGACTACACTGCCTGTCAATAATCTGTCACTATCGGCCTATGCTGTCATTGTAACTGAATTCTGACTTTGAATCCATTATAGAGATACATAAGGGAATACATGGCTACAGTGACAGTGGTGCATCGGCAGCCAGCCCTGTGGAGGCAGTGCCATAGGACTGCTGGTATTGGCGTCTGTCATCTCCACACCAGCAGCAGTCGCACCTCCTCCAAAGAGCACTACAAGGTCCTGGTGCTGGGAGGAGGAAGTGGTGGCATCACCATGAGCGCTCGGATGAAGAGGAAGCTAGGGGCGGAACATGTGGCCATAGTGGAACCCAGTGAGGTATTAAAGACAGTTGTTCATTCCCAATAGCGGCGATGCTGGAGGAGCCTACAGTCAATCCAAAGTGCCTTCAGGAAGTATTCATACCCCTTGACATATTCCACATTTTGTTGTGTTACAGCCTGAATTCAAAATGGATTAAATAAACCCTAACCCTAAACACAACATCCCATAATTGCTCATTTATTGAGAAGGAAATATAGAAACATCTCATTTACATACAGTACCAGTCAAAAGTTTGGACACACCTACTCATTCCAGGGTTTTTCTTAATTTTTTTACTATTTTCTACATTGTAGAATAATAGTGAAGACATCAAAACTATGAAATAACAGATATGGAATCATGTAGTAACCCCAAAAAGTGTTAAAGTCTTTCTGGGTAAGTCTCCAAGAACTTTCCACACCTGGATTGGGCAACATTTGCCAATTATTTATTTTCAAAATTCTTCAAGCTCTGCCAAATTGGTTATTGATCATTGCTAGACAACCATTTTCAGGTCTTGCCACAGATTTTCAAGTAGATTTAAGTCAAAACTGTAACTCGGCCACTCAGGAACATTCACTGTCTTCTTGGCAAGCAACTCCAGTGTAGATTTGGACTTGTGTTTTAGGTTATTGTCCTGCTGAAAGGTGAATTCATCTCCCAGTGTCTGGTGGAAAGCAGACTGAACCAGGTTTTGCTCTAGGTTTTTTGCCTGTGCTTAGCTCCATTCCGTTTGTTTTATGTCTTGAAAAACTCCCCAGTCCTTAACGATTACAAGCATACCCATAACATGATGCAGCCACCACTATGCTTGAAAATATGGAGAAGGGTACTCAGTAATGTGTTGTATTGGATTTGCCCCAAACATAACAATTTAAAGTCAGTTGCTTTGCCACATTTTTTGCAGTTTTACTTTAGTGCCTTGTTGCAAACAGGATGCATGTTTTGGAATATTTGGATTCTGTACAGGCTTCCTTCTTTTCACTCTGTCATTTAGGTTAGTATTGTGGAGTAACTACAATGTTGTTGATCCATCCTCAGTTTTCTCCTATCACAGCCATTAAACTCTGTAACTGTTTTAAAGTCACCATTAGCCTCATGGTGAAATCCCTGAGCGGTTTCCTTCCTCTCCGGCAACTGAGTTAGGAATGACGCCTGTATCTTCGTAGTGACTGGGTGTATTGATACACCATCCAAAGTGTAATTAATAACTTCACCATGCTCAAAGGGATATTACCGTAACGAAGGGGTTGAATACTTATTGACTCATGACATTTCAGCTTGTCATTTGTAATGAATTAGTTAAAAAAAAAATCAAAACATAATTCCACTTTGACATTATTATGTGACACAAAAAAAATCTCTATTTAAACAATTTTAAATGAAGGCTGTAACACAACAAAATGTGGAAAAAGTGAATGGTGTGAATAATTTCTGTAGTCCACTACTTGACCAGGGCCCATAGTGCATTCTTATAGGGAATAGGGTTGCTATTTGGGACGTCCCCAGGCTATTGGGGATGAACCTGTAGCCCCGTGTCTGGTGCATTGGGACTACATATTGAGCAGAATTCTTCCTCTGTGGTTTTATAGATGCACTATTATCAGCCCATCTGGACATTGGTTGGTGCTGGGGCCAAAGGCTTGGCCTCTTCCGGTCGCCCTACTGCCAGCGTCGTGCCGTCTGGAGTCAAGTGGGTTAGATCCAGGGTTCAGGAGGTCAACCCAGACACAAACACTGTGCGCACAGACAACGGCATGGAGGTAGGTAGGGCTTTTTTTTTTTTTTTTTACGTTCCTATCGTTTATTTCATTTAATACGTGTTGATTGTATTGATCAAACGTAATTATTGGGCTTGGTATCAACGCGAGCAAGGCAAAGGTCTATAATCGAATCTATTTTGCCCACCTTTTTCTGGCAACATCAGATGCTATAGAGATCCTCTTGATATGAAACGGGTCTTGATATGCAACTATCCAAATGTCAATTAAATCAATTCAGCTTTACATGTCCCATGCAAGGAAGTAGGCGTACAATAATTGACTGAAACGTACTGACTGAAACGTATTGTCTTCCCTGTAACAGATCTCCTACGAATATCTGATAGTGGCACTAGGTCTACAGCTACACTATGAGAAGGTAATGATGCAATAGAATGTTTCTTTCACTTCCTAAATATTGTTTCAACATAAGATTTACCGTATATAGTGTAGCAACCCGCTTGGACAGTTACAGTTGAAGTCGGAAGTTTACACACACTCAGGTTGGAGTCATTAAAACTCGTTTTTCAACCACTCCACAAATTTCTTGGTTAACAAACTATAATTTTGGCAAGTCGGTTAGGACATCTACTTTGTGCATGACACAAGTAATTTTTCCAACAATTGTTTACAGACAGATTATTTCACTTATAATTCACTGTATCACAATTCCAGCGGGTCAGAAGTTTACATACACTAAGTTGACTGTGCCTTTGAACAGCTTGGAAAATTCCAGAAAATTATGTCATGGCTTTAGAAGCTTCTGATAGGCTAATTGACATAATTTGAGGACCATGCAGGACATTCTGTCTCCTAGAGATGAATGTACTTTGGTGCGAAAAGTGCAAATAAATCCCAGAACAACAGCAAAGGACCTTGTGAAGATGCTGGAGGAAACAGGTACAAAAGTATCTATATCCACAGTAAAACGAGTCCTATATCGACATAACCTGAAAGGCCGCTCAGCAAGGAAGAAGCCACTGCTCCAAAACCGCCATAAAAAAGCCAGACTACGGTTTTCAACTGCACATGGAGACAAAGATCGTACTTTTTGGAGAAATGTCCTCTGGTCTGATGAAACAAAAAAATAACTGTTTGGCCATAATGACCATTGATATGTTTGGAGGAAAAAGGGGGTACTTGCAAGCCGAAGAACACCACCCCAACTGTGAAGCACGGGGGTGGCAGCATCATGCTGTGGGGGTGCTTTGCTGCAGGAGGGACTTGTGCACTTCACAAAATAGATGGCATCATGAGGAAGGAAAATTATGTGGATATATTGAAGCAACATCTCAAGACATCAGTCAGGAAGTTAAAGCTTGGTCACAAATGGGTCTTCCAAATGGACAATGACCCCAAGCATACTTCCAAAGTTGTGGCAAAATGGCTTAAGGACAACAAAGTCAAGGTATTGGAGTGGCCATCACAAAGCCCTGACCTCAATCCTGTAGAACATTTGTGGGCAGAACTGAAAAAGCGTGTGCGAGCAAGGAGGCCTACAATCCTGACTCAGTTACACCAGCTCTGTCAGGAGGAATGGGTCAAAATTCACCAAACTTATTGTGGGAAGCTTGTGGAAGACTACCTGAAACGTTTGACCCAAGTTAAACAATTTAAAGGCAATGCTACCAAATACTAATTGAGTGTATGTAAACTTCTGACCCACTGGGAATGTGATAAAATAAAAAAAGCTGAAATAAATCATTCTCTCTACTATTATTCTTGTCACGCCCTGACTCTGGGGACTCTTATTTGTTGAGTCAGGGTGTGTATTTTCTATGTGGTGTAGGTCTATGTTATAAGTCTAGTATGTCTAGATCTATGTTGGCCGGTGTGGTTCCCAATCAGAGGCAGCTGTAGCTCGTTGTCTCTGATTGGGGACCATACTTAGGCAGCCTATTGGCACTAGTGGGTTGTGGGACCTTGTTCTGTATAAGGTTTGTTGTGTTACCTTAGGCGGAGTGAAGGGCCATGTCACAGGTGGGCAAGTTGTGGTCATGGGAAGAGATATTTGCGGGGAAAGGACCATGGGCTAAGGTAGATGCCCAGGCAGGAGAGGAGCAACGGCAACACGGAGGAGGCCGGTCAAGGAGGAAGCCCGAGAGGCAGCCCCAACAAAAAAAATTGGGGGGTCACACGGGGGTGGTTGGCGGAGCCTAGGGTTAGAGCAGAGCCAACTCCCCGTACTCACGCGAGAAGGCGTATGACTGGGCAAGCTCTGTGTTATGCGGAGCTACGTACTGTGTCGCCAGTGCGCCGGCACAGTCCTGTACGTCCTGTGCTTGCACCACGCACGTGCCGTGCGAAGATGGGCATCCAGCCAGGACGGGGTGTGCCGGCTCAACGCTCCTGGTCTCCAGTACGCCTCCTCGGTCCCGCATATCCTGCGGCAGTTCTACGAGCTGTATCGCCAGTGCGCGTGCACAGCCCAGTGCATCCTGTGCCAGCGCCCCGCACGTGTAGTGCGAAAGTGGGCATCCAGCCAGGATGGGTTGTGCCAGCTCTCCGCTCCAGACCTCCAGTCTGCCTTCGCAGTCCAGTCCGGCCCGTTCCGGCTCCTCGCACCAAGCCAGTGGTGCGCGTCGCCAGCCCGGCCAGGCCCATTCCTGCTCCTCGCACCAAGCCAGTGGTGCGCGTTGCCAGCCCGGCCCGGCCTGTTCCTGCCCCTCGCACCAAGCCAGTGGTGCGCGTCGCCAGTCCGGTCCGGCCTGTTCCTGCCCCTCGCACCAAGCCAGTGGTGCGCGTCGCCAGCCCGGCCCGGCCTGTTCCTGCCCCTCGCACCAAGCCAGTGGTGCGCGTCGCCAGCCCGGCCTGTTCCTGCTTCTAGCACCAAGCCAGTGGTGCGCGTCGCCGGCCCGGCCTGTTCCTGCTCCTCGCACTAAGCCAGTGGTGCATGTTCCTAGTCCGGTTTGGCCCGTGCCTGCTCCTCGCACCAGACCAGTGGTAAGTGTGTCCATTCCGGCACGGCCGAGGTCCAGACCAGACCAGGGGCGCAACAGGGAGGCGGAGAATAGGTGGTTGTCACGCCCGGAGCCGGATCCGCCTCCGAGGCAGAATGCCCACCCGGCCCCTACCCTATTAAGTAAAGGTTGTGCGGTCGGAGTCCGTACCTTTGGGGGGGGGGGGTACTGTCACGCCCTGACTCTGGGGACTCTTATTTGTTGAGTCAGGGTGTGTATTTTCTATGTGGTGTAGGTCTATGTTACAAGTCTAGTATGTCTAGATCTATGTTGGCCGGTGTGGTTCCCAATCAGAGGCAGCTGTCGCTCGTTGTCTCTGATTGGGGACCATACTTAGGCAGCCTATTGGCACTAGTGGGTTGTGGGACCTTGTTCTGTATAAGGTTTGTTGTGTTACCTTAGGACTTTGCGTGTCGTTAGTTTATTGTTTTGTTTTGTGTTTATTCGTGTAAATAAACATGTTTGCATATCACGCTGCGCCTTGGTCTGACCCGTCCGTCAACGATCGTGACAATTCTGACATTTCACATTCTTAAAATAAAGTGGTGATCCTAACTGACCTAAGACAGGGAATTTTTACTAGGATTATATGTCAGGAATTGTGAAAAACTGAGTTTAAATGTATTTGGCTAAGGTGTATGTAAACATCCGACTTCAACTGTACGTGTTCTGATGTTCTGATGTTGTGTTGTTGTGTGGTTATCAGGGCACGTTTATCAGTTAGTTATTATCAGTTCATTATTTGGACTACGGCCAAACAGCAGCCTGTGTGATTTCTGGTTAATAAACCGTTCAATTAGAGAATTAGTTCCTCTGTTGCAGACGTTCTTTTATTCATGGTATATCGAGGTTGTTACAATTGTATGCGTCAGTCTCTGCCACTGATACCATCTTTTGGTCTCTCACAATGACTTTCTAGATCAAGGGCCTGCCTGAGATTAAAGATTGGGTGAAATTTAAGATTGGTTCAAACTACTCTGTGAAAACCGTGGAGAAGACTTGGAGTGCACTGCAGAACTTCAAGGAGGGAAATGCTATATTCTCTTTCCCCAACACTCCGGTGAAGTGTGCAGGAGCACCACAGAAGATCATGTACCTGACCGATGCTTATCTCAGAAAGGTATTATAATACTAATGATCCAAAATGCATCAGATAAAACTTTATAAACAGGTATTATGATGAATCTCCATTTTGTCGAAAGTATTCTCTGGGTCATGTTCATTAGTGCACACTTTAGCAAAACATTTTGCAACGGAATTGTTTCTTATTGGACATGTTCAGATAATATCGTCCTGTTCAAAGTGTTTTCTTCCATTTCGTACCTACTGAACACGACCCAACTTTCATCTGTGTGATATCCGTTCTCAAAAACATAATGGGTTATTCTGATCTGATCCCTCTCGAAGACAGGAAAAAGGGCTACTGCCAACGTCATGTACAACACATCACTGCCAGTGCTGTTTGGGATCAAGAAATATGCAGATGCACTGTGGGAGATAGTGAAGAATCGCGACATCCAGGTGAATCTCAGACGCAACCTCATCGAGGTCCGGGCCGACAGGCAGGAGGCCGTGTTTGAAAACCTCGACAATCCCGGAGAAATCGAAGTGTTTGAGGTAAGTTCCAGGTAGCCTGGTCCCAGATCTGTTTGTGCTGTGTTGCCAACTCCTATGCCTATGGTCATTATCATGTATCACAACGACCGTAGGAGTTAGCAAGACAACACAGACATATCTGGGACCAGGCTAAGTTCCAGGCAGCTATGATGTAGAAATGGAGAACACAGAATGGTAGTTCAGAGGGGTTTGTTTGCACTTCTGCAACAGATTATCTAAGATGACGTAGAAGCCTGATGCTAAGAAACAAACATTCCAGAATTATTCATAGCTATCAGAGCATTCACTGGGAAACAACAACATAGTCGTAGTTGTATGATTTCATTTGTTTGTGCTCATTTTCAGTCAATGAATCAAGCTTGTCTTTCTTTCCGTCAGTATGAGATGCTTCATGTCACTCCTCCAATGGGACCCAACCCGGTGGTTAAAGGATCCTCATTGGCTGATGAAGGTGGCTGGCTGGACGTCAACAAAGACACCCTTCAACATAACAAGTATCCCAATGTGTTTGGGATCGGAGACTGCACCAACCTGCCGACAGCCAAAACAGCTGCTGCGGTGGGTAAGTAGTTTCAGTTCTTCTATTTTTCCACTACAAAAAATAACAGTGCTACCACAACAAAACACCATGTTAGGGGAAACGACTCTTGCAAAACGTTTGTTATGGTATTTGCCTGCCCACTTGCAAGGTTGAAAACCTGTACCTACAGTCAGGTCCATAATGATTGGCACCCTTGATAAAGATGACCAAAAAAGACTGTATAAAATAGATAATACAAATACTGAGCGATATTGTATGCTAAAAAATAATTGGGGAATTATATTATTTGTTTGTACTACTTGTTAAACAAAATCTATTTCTCTGAGCAAGTGTATTGGTATAAAATAATTTAATTTCAATATTTTTTTAGCATACAATATAGCTCACTATTCGAATTATTTATTTTATACAGTCATTTTTTGCTCATCTCTATCAAGGGTGCTAATAATTATGGACCTGACTACATGTAGTATATTTTCTATTGAGCGTGGGGAAGAGCATAAGAACGTGACATGGTGTATTTTATTTCCAGCTGCCCAGTCTAGTATTCTGGACAGAACAATTTCAAAAGTCTTAAAGAATGAAAAGCCGGATAGGAAGGTATGTTACCTAACCTAACACTAATTCAACTAAACCTAACCTCTTTTTTTAAACAATTACAAATACGTTGCGTATTTAGTTTTTTTCATAATCTACAAGATAATACGTTGCTGCAATACTTGTGTTTACAGTATGACGGCTACACGTCCTGCCCTTTGGTGACGAGCTACAGTACTGTCATTCTGGCTGAGTTTGACTATAATGGGCAGCCATTGGAGACGTTCCCCATTGACCAAAGCAAGGAGAGAAGGACCATGTACCACATGAAAGCTGACGTGATGCCTCATCTGTACTGGCATGGTCTCCTCAAGTAAGTACCTGTCAAAGAGAATTCCTGGGTTGTGTTCATTAGGCACCAAAATGGGAAAAACTGACTGAAACAGGGAGCGATTAACCAATAAGATACCCTTATTTTCATTTTCTGTTGCAAAACGTTTTCAATTGTTTTCTGTTGTGTGCCCTAATAAACACAACCCTTTTATGTAGACTAAAGTGGCAGGAAGTAAACATTAAATTGATCTTTTTGGTGGGTAATAATAGTCTTAAATGTAAATCTGATCTTTTTCCAAAGGGGATTCTGGGGTGGACCAGGACCATACAGGAAAATCATGCACCTTGGGATGAAATAAACGTTATAACCAATTCAGATGTGCTGTTCCAGACTGCTACAATGTAATCATTACAATAACCATGATCATTTCATAATACAATTAAGCAAGTCATTGACAATCAATTGAAATCTCAAAATACATCCATGACAGAAGTAATATTGCAACATTCCATGACGTACTATATTGTTCAAAGTGCCACCAGGCAGGATTTGTTTCACATACAGGCGATAGGCCTATATTAAAAAATGTCAAAATCTGATAATGGAATGTGTATATTGAATGTCTTATAAATGGGATTTACAGAGATTCTCACAACACATAAGGATAATAAGGGGAGAATGTACCAGCTTTATATTTCAATGCATTGAAATACTAATTTCCCAAAGCAATCATTAGATCTCTACAGCTAATGGAACAATCAGCATCACATCAATAGGCTTCTAATGGGAAAAATCTGCATCACATCAATAGGCTTCTAATGGGAAAAATCAGCATCACATCAATAAGCTTCTAATGGGAAAAATCAGCATCACATCAATAAGCTTCTAATGGAACAATCAGCATCGCATCAATAAGCTTCTATTACACATGATTGTCCTGCTGTCATTTCTGAAAGAAATCATAAAGAATATGTGCTATATTATAAAGTTGTGTAATTTCAATAAATAACAAATATGTCATATTTTGACCTTGCGTTTCTTCCAGTGTTCTATTTTGCTGATAACCTACTCTTTAGGGCTGCTCCTACGCCTCTTGTTGTTGGACAAATACTGTAGTATGACATCCTCCTCTGATTACATTTACAATACTATACAAGGCATCCACACCTACCAGTACTCTGCTTAGTAGACTCATTTATTTTTTATTTTTTTATTTTTTCACCTTTATTTAAACAGGTAAGCCAGTTGAGAACAAGTTCTCATTTACAACTGCGACCTGGCCAAGATAAAGCAAAGCAGTGCGATTAAAAACAACAACACAGAGTTACATATGGGGTAAAACAAAACATAAAGTCAAAAATACAACAGAAAATAGAAAATATATATACAGTGTGTGCAAATGTAGCAAGTTATGGAGGTAAGGCAATAAATAGGCCATAGTGCAAAATAATTACAATTAGTATTAACACTGGAATGATAGATGTGCAAGAGATGATGTGCAAATAGAGATACTGGGGTGCAAATGAGCAAAATAAATAACAATATGGGGATGAGGTAGTTGGGTGGGCTAATTTCAGATGGGCTGTGTACAGGTGCAGTGATAGGTAAGGTGCTCTGACAACTGATGCTTAAAGTTAGTGAGGGAGATAAGAGTCTCCAGCAATTCGTTCCAGTCATTGGCAGCAGAGAACTGGAAGGAATGGCGGTCAAAGGAGGTGTTGGCTTTGGGGATGACCAGTGAGATATACCTGCTGGAGCGCATACTACGGGTGGGTGTTGCTATGGTGACCTATGAGCTAAGATAAGGCAGGGATTTGCCTAGCAGTGATTTATAGTTGGCCTGGAGCCAGTGGGTTTGGCGACGAATATGTAGTGAGGACCAGCCAACAAGAGCGTACAGGTCACAGTGGTGGGTAGTATATGGGGCTTTGGTGACAAAACGGATGGCACTGTGATAGACTACATCCAATTTGCTGAGTAGAGTGTTGGAGACTATTTTGTAAATGACATCGCCGAAGTCAAGGATCGGTAGGATAGTCAGTTTTACGAGGGCATGTTTGGCAGCATGAGTGGCGCAGTGGTCTAAGGCACTGCATCGCAGTGCTAGCTGTGCCACTAGAGATCCTGGTTCGAATCCGCGACCGGGAGACCCATGGGGCGGCGCACAAGGGGAGGGACTGGCCAGCAGGGATGTAGCTCAGTTAGTAGAGTATGGTGTTTGCAACGCCAGGGTTGTGGGTTCGATTCCCACGGGGGGCCAGTATAAAAAATGATGTATGCACTCACTAAATGTAAGTCGCTCTGGATAAGAGCGTCTGCTAAATGACCAAAAAAAAAAAGAGTGAAGGAGGCGTTTTTTTGCGAAATAGGAAGCCAATTCTGGATTTAACTTTGGATTGGAGATGCTTAATGTGAGTCTGGAAGGAGAGTTTACAGTCTAACCAGACACCTAGGTATTTGTAGTTGTCGACATACTCTAGGTCAGTCGGGTGGGCGAGTGCCAGCAGCGTTCGATTGAAGAGCATTCATTTAGTTTTACTTGTGTTTAAGAGCAGTTGGAGGCTACGGAAGGAGTGTTGTATGGCATTGAAGCTCGTTTGGAGGTTTGTTAACACAGTGTCCAATGAAGGGCCAGATGTATAGAGGTGGATCTGAGAATCACCAGCAGCAAGAGCGACATCATTGATATACACTGAGAATAGAGTCGGCCCAAGAAATGAACCCTATGGCACCCCCATAGAGACTGCCATAGGTCCAGACAACAGGCCCTCCGATTTGACACATTGAACTCTATCTGAGAAGTAGTTGGTGAACCAGGCGAGGCAGTCATTGGAGAAACCAAGGCTTGGTTTCCTAACCAAGTGGGAATTTACCACATAGAACTGGGAAGAATCCACATGAACGGCCCTCCAACTGGAAGTGGGAAACTCCTCTATCATCCTGAGTTCCCACTACTCCCACATGCTGACCTCTGACCTCACCTACTAAGGAAATGACCTATATAACAGCAATGCAACAACAAAACATTATTTCTAAAAAGCAATCTATTGTTTTTTTTTAACACTGTCATTTATTTACAAGCATGATAGCTGAAGTTTTAGTTTATGGTTCACGCAGCTTGTTGGCCATTAGCCAATCTGCGTTCTTCAACGAGTTCAAAGCACATGAATGCATCCAACTGGTATTTACAGCTTCACAACTGGTAAATCCCCACCTCCTACTACTTGGTTATGAAAGAAGGATATGGCTGCATTGACACAGGCAGCCAAAGTCTGATATTCTTTCCACGAATTAGTATTTTGAGCATTCACATCAGATTTTTCACATGAGATCTTTTTCAGAGCTGATTGGTCAAAATACCAATTGAGTGAAAAAAAATATCAGAATTGGGCCGCCTGTGTTGACACAGCCAATGACTAAGGAAAAATGTGATCAGATTTTGCTTTCCAAAATCATTTTTTGAAAACTGCTGGACTGTTTTGGAGACACCTTTCCTACCAGTATAATTCTGGCTACCTTAGGTGCGCCTGCACAGGTCAAATGTATGAATTATCCAAGGTTTCTGACAAGGTAGGTTTCTTCTTACAGTGGGTGCACTCGCTTTACTCCAGTGCAGCCACATGTGCTCTGTATCGAAACAGATATGAGAAAAAATAATATATTTCTTACCAACTGATTTACTGCATACCTATGATGTTATTCAGTGGTTGCTTTCAGCTGTTTTTGCAATGGTGGGCATGGTGGTACACTGTAAATTCATTGCATATACTGTAATCCACTTGCCAGAAGATACTTATCCTACAATTACGCTTGTTTACACTAAGCTGCACTGGGGTACTAATCATTACATTAAGACACCATTGAGCTGGAGCGAGATATGGGTCGGAAAACATACCTCAATGTAGGGATGGGATATGCCACTGTACTTAATGTTACCTTTATCCACACTGCTCCATTGAGAATATTTGAAATACTGCTTGTTTTTCTGGAAAAACTACCCTTCCTGGCAGTAGCCACAGCAGCCATTATGGAATGGCATGACACATTGAACAACAAAGGAGCTGATTGGCTTACACTGCCATTACAAAGTGGCTGCAGTGGCTACTGCTAGCAAGCGTGAGGTGGAAAATAGAAGTTTTACGGGAAAACTATAAGTATTTCAATCTTCTCGATGTATCAGTGTGGATAAAGGTCAAATTTAGATTACAGTGGCATATCCCATCCCTGTATTGAGGCATGTTTTCTGATATCTCAGTGCTGGCTCCATGGTGTCTTAATATAACCCTGATTGCGTTCCGACCCCAGTGCAGTTCAGTGTAAGCAAGGGTAATAGTAGTGTCGGAATCCACTGGCAATGTAATCCACATTCCTAGACATCACGCTAGTAGCGCTAGATCCAGTGTAGTTAAATCTAGTGCATCCACTGTGTTTGTGATGAGGCGGGAAATGGCGTCCACAGAGCCCGTCGGTGGTATATGGTCCTAAACACAGCTGACAGCCAGACCTCTCTCTCTCGGTGGCCAGGCCAGCCGCGAGTTTCGTTACGAGTTTCTTGGACCATCGGTAAGTAACGTCAATTGGTTATGGCTGTGTCAAGCTAGCTAGCTAGCTAGCTAGATGGCCAACTTGGTGTAGCCAATGCTAGTTAACTGGTTATGAAAGGGGCTAGGTATCTAAATATCTAGCGACATGTTTTGCAATAATAGTTGCTAGCCATTTGTTTTATTTCATAGCTTGACCGTCTCTTTCCATGTTCGTTGTTTGGTTGGCAATCGTGAAATCAACATGGCTAGCTAGCTAACTCGCTAATGTTAGCTGGCTAACTTGAGCTAACTAGTTCTATAACGTAGCTAGCTAACGTCAGTTCGATAGCCAGACAGCTGTTCTCTGTTACTTTTGTTATTGTTATCTAGTTCATATTTCTTTGACTAACTATGTAGTGAATAGTTAACTAGATCGTTTATAACGGCCGTAATCAAATAATTAGTTAGCGGTTATATAACAACTAGCTAGCTAATGCAAGGCTCATGCTTCTGTGCTGTTTACTGTCTTGCACTTGATCTTACTAGCAAATGCTAGATAGCTAGCCAATTAGACATATCATATTTGGTTTAACGTTACAAAAAAAAAAAAGACTTCTGGCGTGTGTCAGGGAATTATCTTTGTTTTCTTACTAAGTTAGCTAGCTAGTTAGGCCTCTCCCCACCAGTAGCAGCTAGTTAGCCAACAACTTCAGGTACCTAACCAAGTTAGCAGAACGAACACCGCCCACTTCTCCCAGTTGGTACTGGTCATGAAATGGATCATAACTCCAAAGGTACTGTAGCATATTAGATCCCACTCTGTGTAGTTTTTTTTTTTTTGTGTGCAAGATGAGTATTTATCTATGTCAATTAATGAGCTGAATTTTTAATCTGAATTTTGAAATGATCATATATAGCTATTCATATTTTTTTCAGGATCCACATAATCCAGGGGTGTGAAACTCATTCCACAGAGGGCCGAGTGTCTGCGGGTTTTTTGTTTTTCCTTTCAATTAAACACTAGACAACCAAGTGAGGGAAGTTCCTTGCTAATTAGTGACCTTAATTCATCAATCAAGTACAAGGGAGGAGCGAAAACCCGCCGACACTCGGCCCTCCGTGGAATGAGTTAGACACGTGTGACATAAGGGAAGTTGTTCTACACACCGGTTTTCTCTAGATACCACAGCCACAAAGTCAATTGACTATATAGAGATAATTTTTTTATATATATAAGCAAAAATGTGCTTTTGTCTTAATTTAAGGTTAGGCATAAAGTTAGATAAACCCGTGTGTTTAAAGTTAGGTTTAAAATCAGTTTTTAAGATGATAAATTGTAGAAGTAGGCTGTGGTAATTAGTGACGACCGACTTGTCCCTCTAGTCAAAGCGCCTTCACACAGAGGGCGACAGCCGCCAGAGACGTAGCCCAAAGGCCGGCAGATGGCGATATTGAGTCGTATCATCTTACTGTCCAAACTCTTTGTATGAAGCCTGCGATACATTCATATCCCTCATGGACCGCTTCGTACCAAAAACATTCTCCATCAGCCTGCATAGGTTTCGATTTCCTCCTTAACTTTATATAATGGCGAGAAGGTGGGAATAAACGGAAAATAATGCTTACTTTCCTTATGAAACACAATTTTCCACCACCATGCTAGTGGCTAAATGCTAATCTCGGATGTTGTGTATCGCTTTCAGCCAATCAGGATGAAACAGCACCGCTCAGTACTCTTTTGTAGATATAATACTTTTTGGGATATAAATGTCAAGTATTGTTAGGGCTCTAGATTTTTTTAGATATTTATGTGGGGAAAAATCAATTGTGGCTGTGAAGCTACATGGCATCTCACTGGTTTCCTTTGTTGAGGCTCTGATATACACTACATGGCCAAAAGTTAATATGGAGTTGGTCCCCCCTTTGCTGCTATAACAGCCTCCACTCTTCTGGAAATGCTTTCCACTAGATGTTGGAACATTGCTGCGGGGACTTGCTTCTATTCAGCCACAAGAGCATTAGTGAGGTCGGGCACTGATGTTGGGCGATTAGGCCTGGCTCGCAGTCAGCGTTCCAATTCATCCCAAAGGTGTTTGATGGGGTTGAGGTCAGGGCTCTGTGCAGGGCAGTCAAGTCCTTCCACACCGATCTCGACAAACCATTTCTGTATGGACCTCGCTTTGTGCACGTGGGCATTGTCATGCTGAAACAGGAAAGGGCCTTCCCCAAACTGTTTCCACAAATTTGGAAGGACAGAATCGTCTAGAATGTCATTGTATGCTGTAGCGGTAATATTTCCCTTCACTGGAACTAAGGGGTCTAGCCCGAACCATGAAAAACAGCCCCAGACTATTATTCCTCCTCCACCAAACTTTACAGTTGGCACTATGCATTCGGGCAGGTAGCGTTCTGCTGGCATCTGCCAAATCCAGATTCGTCAGTCGGACTGCCAGATGGTGAAGCGTGATTCATCTCTCCAGAGAACGCGTTTCCACTGCTCCAGAGTCCAGTGGCGGCGAGCTTTACACCACTCCAGCCGACGCTTGGCGTTGCGCATGGTGATCTTAGGCTTGTGTGCGGCTGCTCAGCCACGGAAACCCATTTCATGAATCTCCCGATGAACAGTTATTATGCGCACATGACTGTAAGTCGCTTTGGATAAAACCGTCTGCTAAAATGGCTTATTATTATTGTGCCGACGTTGCTTCCAGAGTCAGTTTGGAACTCTGTAGTGAGTGTTGCAACCGAGGACAGACTATTTTTCCGCGCTTCAGCGCTCAGTGGTCCCGTTCTGTGAGCTTGTGTGGCCTACCACGTCGCGGCTGAGCCGTTGTTGCTCCTAGACGTTTCCACTTCACAATAACAGCGCTTACAGTTGACCGGGGAAGCTCTAGCAGGGCAGAAAGTTGACCAACGGACTTGTTTGAAAGGTGGCATCCTATGACGGTGCCACGTTGAAAGTCACTGAGCTCTACAGTAAGTCCATTCAATGTTTGTCTATGGAGATTGCATGGCTGTGTGCTCGATTTTATACACCTGTGGCTGAAATGGCCGATTCCACAATTTAACGGGGTGTCCACATACTTTTGTATATATAGTGTAGCTACATGGCACCTCACTGGTTTCCTGTGTTCTCTCTTTGTGTTGTACCTGTAATATATATTGCCCTGCCTGCTTGCCGTGCTGCCACACCAGTCTTCCATGTAACGTGTAGGATGATGAGGCTGAGAGTGCGGAAGGCTTCTCAGCAGCCCAAATCCAAACCTGGTCCCAAACCCAGCCCCGGCCGTCCAGCCTCAGACCCCCGCCCAGCCCAGGCCAAGAGGAAACACTGCGAGGTGGAGCCTCCGGCCAGGAGAGGCCTCAGGATGCAAAAGAATGAGACCGGCCTGTTCTCCACCATCAAGAAGTTCATCAGGGGAAATGCTGTCAAGGTGGGTGAACCATCTTCATATAGGAAGACAAGTTGAACTAATTAACAACAATAGCAATGCAGCAAATGTGAATCAGCTTTCAGATAGTTCACCGAAAGTTGTTTTTGTTAGGATCTTCGTTGCATGGCGTCTTGTCCACAGAAGGCCGGTGTGGGAGCATGAAAAAAAAAGTGTTACTTTTTAACCCCCTTTTCATGATATCCAATTGGTAGTTAGTCTTGTCCCATCGCTGCAACTCCCGTACGGACTCAGGAGAGGCAAAGGTCAAGAGCCATGCGTCCTCTGAAACACGACACTGCCAAGCCGCACTGCTTCTTGACACACTGCTCGCTTAACACGGAAGCCAGCCGCACCAATGGGTTGGAGGAAACACCGTCAAGCTGGTGACCGTGTCAGCGTGCATGCGCCCGGCCCGCCACAGGAGTCGCTAGAGCGCGATGGGACAAGGACATCCCGGCCAGCCAGACCCTCTCCTAACCCGAACGACGCTGGGCCAATTGTGCGTCGCCTCATGGGTCTCCCGGTCGCGGCCAGCTGCGACACAGCCCAGGATCAAACCCGGATCTGTAGTGACGTCTCAACCACTGCAGTGACTTAGACCACTCGGGAGGCCCACGGGAGCATGTTTTTGTCCTAACCAAGCAGTAACACTGATTCAACTAATCATGTCTTTTATTGAAGTATTGATTAGGTGAATCATGTGTGTACTAGTCCACATTGATCTCTGTGGATGTGATTGGACACTCCTCAGTTATGAGTCTTACTTCCGTGATGAATAGTAATGATACGTTGATTTTTAACTTTAGGGGAGAAATTATAATTTAAGTTTACATAAAATATGTCAGATTGTAGATTTTCAACATTAGGAAATTCATGTATATTTTATTATGTAAGTGGTGGGCTTATTTGGAACACCCCCATGGGTTTAAAGGGTACATTCGGTACCCATTAAGACCACTACAGACTTTTCACATACTTTAACATTTATAAAACATTTTAAATCATAAAATGTCACATGAGATGAATCTCTACTCTTCTTCCTCCCTCCCAGGTAGAGCAGGACATCCCAGCTAAGAGACGTCGTATTGATTGTAAAGTGGACAGCAGCAACCTGATCACGTCTTCTCCTCACCCTCCCATCAAAGCACCCAGGGTCTGCGGGGGAGGAGCTAACAAACCTGGTGAGTTAGAGTCAAGACACTCCACAGGGTCATCTGGAACCTACAGTACCAGTCAAAAGTTTGGACACACCTACTCATTCAAGGGTTTTTCTTTATTTTTCAAATATTTTCTACATTGTAGAATAATAGTGAAGACATCAAAACTATGAAATAACACATGTGGAATCATGTAGTAACCAAAAAAGTGTTAAATAAAAAATATTTTATATTTGAGATTCTTCAAATAGCCACCCATTGCCTTGATGACAGCTTTGAACACTCTTGGCATTCTCTCAACCAGCTTCACCTGGAATGCATTTCCAACAGTCTTGAAGGAGTTCCCACATATGCTGAGCACTTGTTGGCTGCTTTTCCTTCACTCTGCGGTCCGACTCATCCCAAACCTTCTCAATTTGGTTGAAGTTGGGGGATTGTGGAGGCCAGGTTATCTGATGCAGCACTCCATCACTCTCCCTGGTAAAATAGCCCTTACACTGTCTGTAGGTGTGTTGGATCATTGTCCTGTTGAAAAACAAATGATAGTCCCACTAAGCCCAAACCAGATGGGATGGCGTATCGCTGCAGAATGCTGTGGTAGCTATGCTGGTTAAGTGTGCCTTGAATTATAAATAAATCACAGACTGTGTCACCAGCAAAACACCATAACACCTCCTCCTCCATGCTTTACGGTCGGAAATACACAGGCGGTGATCATCCGTTCACCCACACCGCGCCTCACAAAGACACAGCGGTTGGAACCAATAATCTCCAATTTGGACTACAGACCAAAGGACACATTTCCACCGGTCTAATGTCCATTGCTCGTGTTTCTTGGCCCAAGCAAGTCTCTTCTTATTATTGGTGTCCTTTAGTAGTGGTTTCTTTGCAGCAATTCGACCATGAAGGCCTGATTCACAGTCCCCTCTGAACAGTTGATGTTAAGATGTGTCTCTTACTTGAACTCTGTGAAGCATTTATTTGGGCTGCAATTTCTGAGGCTGGTAACTGTAATGAACTTATCCTTTGCAGCAGAGGTAACTCTGGGTCTTCCATTCCTGGGGCGGTCCTCATGAGAGTCAGTTTCATCATAGCGCTTGATGGTTTTTGCGACTGCACTTGAAGAAACTTTCAAAGTTTCTCTTAGCTTATTTGATCTGTTCTTGCCATAATATGGACTTGGTCTTTTACCAAATAGGGCTATCTTCTGTATACCCTCCTTACCTTGTCACAACACAACTGATTGGCTCAAACGCATTAAGAAGGAAATAAATTCCATAAATTAACTTTTAAGAAGGCACACCTGTTAATTGAAATGCATTCCAGGTGACTACCTCATGAAGCTGGTTGAGAGAATGCCAAGAGTGTTCAAAGCTGTCATCAAGGCAAAGGGTGGCTACTTGAAGAATCTCAAATATAAAATATATTTTGATTTGTTTAACACTTTTGGTTACTACATGATTCCATATGTGTTATTTCATAGTTTTGATGTCTTCACTATTATTCTACAATGTAAAAAATAAAGAAAGAAAAACCCTTGAATGAGTAGGTGTGTCCAAACTTTTGACTGGTACTGTACATTATAATAATGTTAGTGTGGAGACGAAGGGCTCCATTCATAGTTCTGCTGTATGACGTCACACTGTAGCCACACCCTCTTTGTGCACATCTGCTTATTGGAAACTTTGCAACAAGTCAATTATCAATATCGAATTAAGAAATCTGAATGTCTTGTTTTACAATAGATGTCTCTAGTGCTCATTTCAAATGATAACAATCGTGTCCGTGTAAGTAGTGAAGTTCAGTGAACTACAACAACAACAACAACAACAACAACAACAACAGCTGAATAACTCCTTTCTCTCAGATCCAATGACGTTGAACAGTAAGCCCCTGAAGCCCAACGGTAAGCTGGAGGTCCCAGTGGAGGTCCCCAGTAGCCCACCTCGCACCACTCTCCTGGGGACCATCTTCTCTCCCGTCTTCAACTTCTTCTCGCCTGCTACCAAGACCGGTAACAGAATCTGCCTCTTGTGTTTTTTTTAAATCATAGTTAAAAGACAATCTTAAAGAAAATCGGTTATTTAACCTTATTCTCCGTGGTTGAATCTCAAATGTGTTTTCCTTGATTTTGTCACGTCCTCTTCTCGCCTCACTCTCAAGACGTCAGAGGGAAGCGAGGAGAGCATTGGACAGAAGATCTTCTCTTCCCTCTGACATTTTGAGAAGGAGAGAAGAGAACGCCACACATTTTTTACATTTTTAGTCATTTTAGCAGAACGCTCTTATCCAGAGCGACTTACAGTTAGTGAGTGCATACATATTTCATACTGCCCCCCCCCCCCCCGTGGGAATCGAACCCACAACCCTGGCGTTGCAAGCGCCAGGCTCTACCAACTGAGCAACAGGGGGGGACGAATGGAGGGTACAAACCTTGGAGATTCACCCATGGCAAAATAATATTCAAGGAGGATTACTTTTGAGATTCACTGAGTTTCTCTCCTGTGTTCCCTTCGGTGTCTAGCTGCTCCTGATTCTGGGTCCCCTGGGCAGGAGGAGGAGACCCCCACCTGTAACCCCACATCTGCAGAGGGCATCGTACTGTCCCCTGTTGCCCCAGTAGCACTACCGTCGCCACAGGCTCCTCTGGCCATCCCAGAACCGCCGGTCCAAGAAGGGGAGATGGTTACGGAAACTGATATGCCCCCTCTAACAGGTAACCGTGACGATATGCCCCCTCTTAACAGGTAACCGTGACGATATGCCCCCCTCTTAACAGGTAAACGTGATGTTGGTTGATCTTAGGTTATGCTATACGGGTGTGGGTCAATTTAGAACTGTGTGAGACTTGAAGATCCTGTGATTTTTTTTATTTTTTTTACGTGATATGGAATATTCTGTGAAAAGATGATATCCTAAATGTCTGAATGTGCCGTTGTCCCCCAATTAGCTCCGGGGTGCACCTCAGTCAGCTGTTACCCCCACGCCCCTCACACGGCCCCCGCAGAGGGCAGCTACGAGGAAGACTGGGAAGTTTTTGATCCGTGAGTACTGCTTTAGTTTATTTATCGAACTCACCAACCAAACACAGTTTAAGTGCCTCTCTTTTAAATAACAGGCAGTAGAAAGAGGTCTGCATTTTGGGGATTTTTAAGTTAAAAAGGGAATGTTTTTTTATTCCATTTTAAACAGAAGCCCCATCTGTCTTGTCACACCATCTAACCTACTTAGTAATAGTGTGCAAAGATCAACTACTTGGACCTCCTAAGATATCTGTGCCTGCTCTGTTTTCAGGTACTTCTTCATCAAGCACGTGCCTCCGCTGACTGAGGAGCAGATAGCCCGCAAACCAGCACTGCCTCTTAAAACGCGCAGCACACCAGAGTTCTCCCTGGTCCTAGATCTGGTGAGCTTGCAGCCCCGACTGTTTCTCTGTTGTTTTGGGGTTGCCTGTAGTCGTCTTGAATGTCCAGACCCAAGATGCATTCTGAGTCTGAGATCTACAGAATGTTCTGAAATCTGTTAACTTATTTGTTCTAAACACTCTCATCCAGATCAGTGCATTCCAACTAAATTGGGTAAAACAACCAATAATCAGAAACTGTTTTGTGTATTCATCAGGACGAGACGTTGGTTCACTGTAGTCTGAATGAGCTGGACGACGCAGCCCTGACCTTCCCTGTGTTGTTCCAAGACGTCATATACCAGGTGGGTACTAGAGGCTGTGACGGCACAGAAATCCTAAGGTTTTTTTAAATGATTGTCAAGGGCTCTTTCTCAATAAGTATTTCCTTGTGTCCTCTCTTTCTTCTCAAACCTCATTGGAAGAGAATATCCAGTCTTTTCCCCATGGATTTCTTCTTCTGTGCGTTTTGAGAAGGAGGTGAGGAGAATGGACATGAGGACTCGAGGAAAGACATTTAGAAAAAGCCATAGGTTTTATGTGATTGTCATGGAAAACGTCTCTTTCAGTGAGGTATGTTTACATGCACGGGAATAATTCGATATTAAACTGATTATGACAGTAGGCAGATAATGCAACAGTCATGTAAACCCCTTACTCTGTTTATCATAATCGGCATAAGGTCAAAATAGAAGTAAGCATACGAGGATTAAAACATCTGGTTGTCTGAGTAATCTTTTGAATGATTAGGACATGTAAACACCTTAATCGGTGTTCCAGCGGTGTATTTAATCTGCTCATGGGCCAGCACCGGGCCAGCACCAGCCCAGCGAGCCTCCCTCTTTAGCGCCAGTGAAGTGAGTTTGGAACAACTGAATGAATGCGTCTTAGAAGTAGTTTTCACATAACTTTTTTTTTTTTTTATATGTCCGAACTTGGAAATCAAATATGCTTCCCAAAAATAACATGGTCGCTGTGGTAGAACGTTTATTTTGACTTGCAATTTTCAGCATTTATCAGAGTCCCATCGGGATAGCCTGATTTTTCAGATGTGTCCATGTAAACCAGATTATTAGGGAAAACCGTTCTTTTTGCAAAGAATGTAAACGTTTTAACCAAACTATTATATTAATCTAACTATCCACAATAATCGCATTATTGTGTGCATGTAACTGTACTCTGTGAACAGGGAGTGGTCTTGATTTGGGATATATTGTCAGTCATGTTATTTTTCTCTCTGCAGGTGTATGTGCGGTTGAGGCCGTTCTTCAGAGAGTTCCTGGAGCGCATGTCTCAGATTTACGAGGTGAGGTTCTAATATATATCTGATGAAGGTGACGCCACACCAGATCACATTTCCATTTTAGTCATTTAGCAGACGTTCTTATCCAGAGCAACTGACAGTTAGTGAGTGAGTGCATACTTTTTTTGTACTGGTCCCCCCGTGGGAAATGAACCCACAACCCTGGCGTTGCAAGCATCAAATCAAATTGTATTGGCCACATGCGCCGAATACAACAGGTGCAGACATTACAGTGAAATGCTTACTTACAGCCCTTAACCAACAGTGCATGTATTTTTTATAAAAAAATTAAAATAAAACAACAACAAAAAAGTGTTGAGAAAAAAAGAGCAGAAGTAAAATAAAATAACAGTAGGGAGGCGATATATACAGGGGGGGTACCGGTGCAGAGTCAATGTGCGGGGGCACCGGCTAGTTGAGGTAATATGTACATGTGGGTAGAGTTAAAGTGACTATGCATAGATAATAAACACATGGGACCACAGATCTCTGTAGACTTCGCTGGGACAGACAATCGGAAATCCCATTTTAGATATAAAACTGTTAACCGTTTTCATTTCCGTTCCACAGATCATTCTGTTCACTGCCTCTAAGAAGGTGTACGCGGATAAGCTGCTGAACATCCTGGACCCAAAGAAACAGTTGGTCAGGTCGGTGAAAGAACAGCCCATTTTGCTGTTGAACGATTACAACCGACCATTGCTAAGTTGCACCATGGATTGCGTCCCAAATGGCCCCGCACAGGGCTCTGGTCAACAGTAGTGCACTATGTAGGGAATGGGGTGCCATATGGGACAGAGTGTATTTCCAACAGCCACTACGCTAGACTAATCATCGGTTGTTTTCTCCTCTCCTACAGGCATCGGTTGTTCCGTGAGCACTGTGTATGTGTTCAAGGAAACTACATCAAGGACCTGAACATTCTTGGAAGGGATCTTTCAAAGACTATAATAATCGACAATTCACCTCAAGCCTTCGCCTATCAGGTAAGCCTTCATCAATCAATCAAATTGTATTTATAAAGCCCTTTTTACATCAGCAGATGTCACAAAGTGCTATACAGAAACCCAGCCTAAAACCCCAAACAGCAAGCAATGCAGAAGCACGGTGGCTAGGAAAAACTCCCTAGAAAGGCAGGAACCTAGAGAGGAACCAGGCTCTGAGGGGTGGCCAGTCCTCTTCTGGCTGTGCTGGGTGGAGATTATAACAGTACATGGCCATTAAGGCCCGATTTTTCTCCAAGATGTTTAAACGTTAATAGATGACCAGCGGGGTCAAATAATAATCACAGTGGTTTGCAGCATAGCTACTGGAGGCTGAGACGGGGGGGTCGGTGGACACTGTGGCCCCGTCCGACGATTCCCCCGGACAGGGTCAACCAGGCAGGATATAACCCAACCCACTTTGCCAAACGCACATCCCCCACACCACTAGAGGGATATCAACAGACCACCAACTTACTACCCTGAGACAAGGCTGAGTATAGCCCACAAAGATCCCGAGTGGGTGTAAAACCGGACAGGAAGATCACGTCAGTGACTCAACCCACTCAAGTGATGCACCCCTCCTAGGGACGGCATGGGAGAGCACTAGTAAGCCAGTGACTCAGCCCCCGTAATAGGGTCAGATACAGAGAATCCCAGTGGAGAGAGGGGAACCGGCCAGGCAGAGACAGCAAGGGCAGTTCGTCACTCCAGTGCCTTGCCGTTTACCTTCGCACCCCTGGGCCAGACTACACTCAATCATAGGACTTACTGAAGAGATTAGTCTTCAGTAAAGACTTAAAGGTCGAGACCGAGTCTGCGTCTCTCACATGGATAGGCAGACCATTCCATAAAAATGGAGCTCTATAGGAGAAGGCCCTGCCTCCAGCTGTTTCTAGTCAAGATTCTAGCAGCCGTGTTTAGCACTAACTGAAGTTGATTTAGTGCTTTATCCGGGTAGCTGGAGAGTAGAGCATTGCTGTAGTCTAATCTAGAAGTGACAAAAGCATGGATTAGCTTTTCTGCATCATTTTTGGACAAAATGTTTCTGATTTTTACAATGTTACGAAGATGGGGAAAAAAGCAGTCCTTGAAATATTCTTGATATGTTCGTCAAAAGAGAGATCAGGGTCCAGAGTAACACCCAGGTCCTTCCGGGTTTTTTTTGAGACGACTGTACAACCCCGTGTAGCTCAGTTGGTAGAGCGTGGCGCTTGCAACGTCAGGGTTGTGGGTTTGTTTCCCACGGGGGGCCTGTATGAAAATATATGCACTCGCTAACTGTAAGTCGCTCTGGATAAGAGCGTCTGCTAAAATGACTAAAATGTACAACCATCAAGATTAATTGTCAGATTCAACAGAAGATCTTTGTTTCTTGGGACCTAGAACTAGAATCTCTGTTTTGTCCGAGTTTAAAAGTTAAAAAAATATTGCCGCCATCCACTTCCTTATGTCTGAAACACAGGCTTCCAGGGTCGGCCATTTTGGGGCCTCACCATGTTTCATCGAAATGTACAGCTACTTACTATATCCCACAGGAATCCCATACTAAAAATATATACAGGAAGTCGTTGGATAAAAGTGTCTGTAAAGTCTCATAATTATATAGTATGATATCGCAATTCAAAACGTCTTTGTTCTCAATCGTAGCTTTCCAATGGGATTCCCATCGAGAGCTGGTTCATGGACAGGAATGATAATGAGCTCCTCAAGCTGGTTCCTTTCCTGGAGAAGCTGGTGGAGATGGTATGTTCTCATTCTGAAAAGAACCTTGCCTTTGGGTGTCCAACTCACTCTAAAACATTTGCCCTTGTACCTGTAAGATATGTCTCTATAGCGCCTGTAGGATATGTCTCTATAGCGCCTGTAAGATATGTCTCTATAGCGCCTGTAAGATATGTCTCTATAGTGCCTGTAAGATATGTCTCTGTCTCTATAGCGCCTGTAAGATATGTCTCTATAGCGCCTGTAAGATATGTCTCTGTCTCTATAGCGCCTGTAAGATATGTCTCTATAGCGCCTGTAGGATATGTCTCTATAGCGCCTGTAAGATATGTCTCTATAGCGCCTGTAAGATATGTCTCTGTCTCTATAGCGCCTGTAAGATATGTCTCTATAGCGCCTGTAGGATATGTCTCTGTCTCTATAGCGCCTGTAGGATATGTCTCTATAGCGCCTGTAGGATATGTCTCTATAGCGCCTGTAAGATATGTCTCTGTCTCTATAGCGCCTGTAGGATATGTCTCTATAGCGCCTGTGGATGTCTCTATAGCGCTAGGATATGTCTCTATAGCGCCTGTAAGATATGTCTCTGTCTCTATAGCGCCTGTAGGATATGTCTCTATAGCGCCTGTAGGATATGTCTCTATAGCGCCTGTAGGATATGTCTCTATAGCGCCTGTAAGATATGTCTCTGTCTCTATAGCGCCTGTAGGATATGTCTCTATAGCGCCTGTAGGATATGTCTCTATAGTGCCTGTAGGATATGTCTGTGTCTCTATAGCGCCTGTAAGATATGTCTCTATAGTGCCTGTAGATATGTCTCTGTCTCTATAGCGCCTGTAGGATATGTCTCTGTCTCTATAGCGCCTGTAAGATATGTCTCTATAGTGCCTGTAGGATATGTCTCTATAGCGCCTGTAGGATATGTCTCTATAGCGCCTGTAAGATATGTCTCTATAGCGCCTGTAAGATATGTCTCTATAGCGCCTGTAGGATATGTCTCTATAGCGCTTGTAGGATATGTCTCTATAGCGCCTGTAAGATATGTCTCTATAGCGCCTGTAGGATATGTCTCTATAGCGCCTGTAAGATATGTCTCTATAGCGCCTGTAAGATATGTCTCTATAGCGCCTGTAGGATATGTCTCTATAGCGCCTGTAAGATATGTCTCTGTCTCTATAGCGCCTGTAGGATATGTCTCTATAGCGCCTGTAGGATATGTCTCTATAGCGCCTGTAGGATATGTCTCTATAGCGCCTGTAGGATATGTCTCTCTCTATAGCGCCTGTAAGATATGTCTCTATAGCGCCTGTAAGATATGTCTCTATAGCGCCTGTAAGATATGTCTCTATAGCGCCTGTAAGATATGTCTCTATAGCGCCTGTAAGATATGTCTCTATAGCGCCTGTAAGATATGTCTCTATAGCGCCTGTAAGATATGTCTCTATAGCGCCTGTAAGATATGTCTCTGTCTCTATAGCGCCTGTAAGAAATGTCTCTATAGCGCCTGTAAGATATGTCTCTATAGCGCCTGTAGGATATGTCTCTATAGCACCTGTAGGATATGTCTCTATAGCGCCTGTAGGATATGTCTCGGTCTCTATAGCGCCTGTAAGATATGTCTCTATAGCGCTTGTAGGATATGTCTCTATAGCGCTTGTAGGATATGTCTCTATAGCGCCTGTAGGATTGTCTCTGTCTCTACAGCGCCTGTAAGATATGTCTCTATAGCGCCTGTAGGATATGTCTCTATAGCGCCTGTAGGATATGTCTCTATAGCGCCTGTAAGATATGTCTCTATAGCGCTTGTAGGATATGTCTCTATAGCGCCTGTAGGATATGTCTCTATAGCGCCTGTAGGATACAGTTGAAGTTGGAAGTTTACATACACTTAGGTTGGGGTCATTAAAACTTGTTTGTCAACCACTCCACACATTTCTTGTTAACAAACTATAATTTTGGCAAGTCGGTTAGGACATCTACTTTGTGCATGACACAAGTAATTTTTCCAACAATTGTTTACAGACAGATTATTTCACTTATAATTCACTGTATCACCATTCCAGTGGGTCAGAAGTTTACATACACTAAGTTGACTGTGCCTTTAAACAGCTTGGAAAATTCCAGAAAATGATGTCATGGCTTTAGAAGCTTCTGATAGGCTAATTGACATCATTTGAGTCAATTGGAGGTGTACCTGTGGATGTATTTCAAGACCTACCTTCAAACTCAGTGCCTCTTTGCTTGACGTCATGGGAAAATCTAAAGAAATCAGCCAAGACCTCAGAAAATTAATTGTAGACCTCCACAAGTCTGGTTCATCCTTGGGAGCAATTTCCAAACGCCTGAAGGTACCACGTTCATCTGTACAAACAATGGTACGCAAGTATAAACACCATGGGACCACGCAGCCGTCATACCGCTCAGGAAGGAGACGCGTTCTGTCTCCTAGAGATGAACGTACTTTGGTGTGAAAAGTGCAAATCAATCCCAGAACAACAGTAAAGGTCCTTGTGAAGATGCAGGAGGAAACAGGTACAAAAGTATCTATATCCACAGTAAAACGAGTCCTATTGCTGCATAACCTGAAAGGCCGCTCAGCAAGTAAGAAGCCACTGCTCCAAAACCGCCATAAAAAGCCAGCAACTGCACATGGGGACAAAGATCGTACTTTTTGGAGAAATGTCCTCTGGTCTGATGAAACAAAAATAGAACTGTTTGGCCATAATGATCATCGCTATGTTTGGAGGAAAAAGGGGTTGGCTTGCAAGCCGAAGAACACCATACCAACCGTGAAGCACGGGGGTGGCAGCATCATGCTGTGGGGTGCTTTGCTGCAGGAGGGACTGGTGTATTTCACAAAATAGATGGCATCATGAGGAAGGAAAATGATGTGGATATATTGAAGCAACATCTCAAGACATCAGTCAGGAAGTTAAAGCTTGGTCGCAAATTGGTCTTCCAAATGGACAATGACCCCAAGCATACTTCCAAAGTTGTGGCAAAATGGCTTAAGGACAACAAAGTCAAGGTATTGGAGTGGTCATCACAAAGCCCTGACCTCAATCCTATAGAACATTTGTGGCCAGAACTGAAAAAGCCTGTGCGAGCAAGGAGGCCTACAAACCTGACTCAGTTACACCAGCTCTGTCAGGAGGAATGGGCCAAAATTCACCCAACTTATAGTGGGAAGCTTGTGGAAGGCTACCCAAAACATTTGACTCAAGTTAAACAATTTTAAAGGCAATGCTGCCAAATACTAATTGAGTGTATGTAAACTTCTGACCCACTGGGAATGTGATGAAAGAAAGAAAAGCTGAAATAAATCATTCTCTCTACTATTATTCTGACATTTCACATTCTTAAAATAAAGTGGTGATCCTAACTGACCTAAGACAGGGAATTTTTACTAGGATTAAATGTCAGGAATTGTGAAAAACTGAGTTTAAATGTATTTGGCTAAGGTGTATGTAAACTTCCGACTTCACCTATATGTGTCTCTCTCTATAGCACCTGTAGAATGTCTCTATAGCGATAAACAGTCTTCTGCTTTTTCTCCAAAAAAAATCTGTTTCGTCTTCAAGTCACGTCAGTCATTTGTCTTGGTTTACTGTTCTCTCTCTCTCCACAGAATGAGGACGTAAGGCCTTACGTCAGAGAGCAGTTTCGTCTTCATGACCTCCTTCCTCCAGACTGATATGTGATTGGCTGACCCAGAAGGGTAACCCATAGAAATGGAATGTATATTATATGAGAATATTAATTCTAATTCTACGGGCTAACCCTCCAGTACGTGGAGAGGATGCCTTCCGTTCAACACGGTGGAGATGAGGAGAATCAAGCTCAACTGACTGAGGATGTTGTTCGTGTGGATCTGTCTACAACTACAGCGTTGCCACTACCAATGAAAATGTGTACAAAAAAACCAACAACAAAATACCATTACAGAGGGACATTTGTACTAAACAACTACAAAACATATTTTGAAGCTATGTATACGTTTTGTATACTCAAACTAAACTGTACCCCCAGAGTAGAGCAGTCCCCTTGTATTATAAAAGACTTCTGTCTGGAAGGACCTCTTATCTACTTTTGAAAGCAGGGTTGTGTTCATTAGGGCTCGAACGTTACAAAACATTTAGCAACGGGAATGAAAATGTGCGTTTCTCATTGGACAACTCCAGGTAGAACGGTCTCCATTTCAGGAACGTTTTCTTCGTTTTGGTGCCTAATGAACACGATCCTGGCAACTTTCTGTGAGATATTTTCTCATCTGCAGCTACAGTTATGGACTGACGGAACTGAATGTCATGCAGTATTTGATGTGTGAGAGGACCTGACTGCTCCCGACTCATTTTAACAGGAACGGGCAGTCAAACCTGTATAATATACACACTTAATTACATGTATATATGACATGTATATATATTTTTTTTTTCTTCGTGTTTTTTTTTAATTTAATTTTAGTTATTCTTTTAGCTGACTGCTTCTTTTACTCTTTTTATTAAAACATTTTTTTTTTAAACCTTCAAAAAAAGTATTTGTTTTGAAGTTGATGCTACCGAGCTGCTGTTCTGTTGTCTGCCTGCAAATTTTTGCATCCCAAATGGCACCCTTTTCCCTACTGTATATAGTGCATTCCTTTTGACCAGAGCCCTATGGGTCAAAAATAGTGCACTGTAAAGGGAATCGGACGCATACTTGTTTTCTAGTCTTGCTTTTTATGCTCCATTAACTGCTGTTATGTGGTCTCTGTAACAAGGTTCAGTTAAAAAATATATATTTGGCAGGACATTTTTTATGAAATCATGATGTTTTTAAGGTTATGTAATGTAGTATAGTGTTTAACTTGAAGACCCTTCAACAAGCCGTAACGATGGCCTGGAATATTAATTTAGATCATGTATATTTGAGATTTCACCCCTTAAAAATGTTGAAAAGACCCTTCTGTTTTGGGGGGGGGGGGGTGATGAGGGTTTAGGGGGGGAAAGGAAGGAAGGAGTGCTTCAGAGCTTAAACGACTTTACATCCAGCCCTATGTAAAGTAAATGTAAAATCCTGTCAATTTTGTACAGAAGTTATAACCCCTAAATTGTTATACCCGTACAATTTTGAAATCATAGC